ACCACAATTTATTTTCAACGTATGGTTTATTTCATTACATAATTTTGAAGATATGTATATGACCTATTTTATTATCACTGTTTATATAATGTTAATTTCTACCTTATTCTCTTTATTTACAAATTTCTTTCGTGAGCATTTTCCACGTATTTCAATAGAAGTATCTCTAATAATACTGGCCATATTTCTCCAAACTGTATTAGGACTTCGTTTTATGTTTTAGCGTATTTTTCCTATCCTTTTTGCCCTAAATATACTTCTCATATTTTAATACCGTATACATGGCCTACTTTGCCCAGCAAATTTCAGTTTTATTTAAATATTTCTTTTCTTAGCACATATAAATAAGTACAAAAGCTATTTTGAGAACTCGCGAGATATTAACAGAAAATGAGAACGAGAAAAACGAAACAAAAAACGAGAAAATGTACTTGTAATTTTTTATCACAATCTTAACACAGCCCAGGAACAAAATTAAATACAAGGTGCGTAAAGTTAATTCGGAAAAGTTCAACATTAACCACCTATTTTAAATTCACTGTAAGGCAAAATTGGAACGTAATAGGACTTTGCCTACGGCATACGTTTTGATTTGACTACTTTGCCCACGATATACGTTTTGAATTTTATTTTTTAATAAAAGCTAGAACAAAAAGCTCTATTTTTCTGAGTTTTTTATTTAAAAACTTTTATTACAAAAATACAAGAAAAATTATTACACTTTTATTGAAAAAAAAAACATAAGAAAAATTATAAGTGAAAACAACATAAATTTTTGTTAAAAAAAATCTCTTTCTTTCATTGATCATTTTCAACCACTTCATCCTGCTCTTCTTCATGTAATTCATCTGCCTTCTCACCATTATCATCGTCTCTGTTATTCATCTCCATATCCATTTCTTCTGCTAAATTTTTGTCGTCACTCGTCTCCAGCTCTATTTCTTCTTCTAAATCCTCGTTCTAATGTCCCTCTTGATTCTGATTAAATTCTTCAAATTAAACTGATTGACTGGTTTCAGTATGAAGCAACTTTTTCTTTCATTTTTTAATATCACCTTTCTTTTTTTGTTGTAAAAAATTTAATAATGCAATATCCATTTTAGAGCTTACTCTCTTCGCAAATCTGTCATTCGGCATCTTTTTTAGCACTTAATGTGGGCCAAAGGGACAAATTCCAGTTGCTCGAAATGAACTTTGAAGATTTTTTTTAAGTTTGGTTCAATCGCGTCTATTAGTTTTGTTAGCAATTGAGGAAAGGTGGGTTTTTCAACTAAATTTAAGTTAAGTTGACTAGTTTTTAAATCAGTAAGGATCTTTTTTTAGGTTTTTTTTTTAAAGCCCGAAAAAAATCCAACATCAAGTGGTTGTGTAAGCCCTGTAGAGTTAGGTGACAGAAATACAAACCTTATATTTGCCCTTTGATAAGTCCTTATTATCTCAATATTCAGATGTGAGGACAAGTTGTCCCAAATCAAAACCTTGGTGATGTTAGACAGTTTTGACCACGCTAAAACAACTTTAAATAATCAGTCTTGGAAAGTTTATGCATCAAACCATCCAGATTTTGTTCTATTATACAATGTACGAGGGGGCCACCTGTTATCCATCTATCATTTAATCTTTTAGCTTTATAAACCACATACACTTTATAAGCCACATTAGAGGCATTGCGCTTTTAGTGGCATTCATGTATCTTTCCGGGTATTTTGTCCCATGTCGAAAGACACATTTTTGGGTACCAGGATCATAACAGATTTGTTTTATCATAATTTAGGATATTTTAGGGTTCGATGTTTTCAAGTGTTATTTTTAAATTATTAAAATATCACTCTATGATTTCTTCAGTGTTGGCTGCCCTGGATCGTTTAACGTTTTGGCAATACATTTGAGATAAAATGTGCTTATGTCGTGACAAAAAAGCTGATCCAGACACAACTAGGAAGGTGTTGTGAGAGAAATAAACAACTCGAGTTGTTTAAACTTGTTGTTTAACTGGGCTTGTTAAAGGAGCACCATATTCTACACTTGCTATAACAACATCCACCAAGTGACGTTCTTCTATTTTAGTGAGTGTAAGGGGATGGCTAATGGAGGACAACGTGCCTCTGCCTGACCGGAACTTAAACCTGCTCTCGCTGCTTCCACATCTCGTTCAAGCATGGCTTCAGAGTAGTTTACATACTGCCTAGCTCCAACTGTTTTCTGCTTTTTCTTGGCATTTTGATTGGCCCTTGAAAGAAAAAAAAATTAAGCAAATACTGACATGTTGTTTTACTTAAAAAATTAATACTTTATGGCGTTAAAAACTCAAAAGCACTGCTCAGTTTCTTTTTAAATACCTCTAAAAAACATTTTATATAAAAATACAAAACAATTCGAGACAAATGACAGAACAAAATTGCCCTTTGTTGGTGGGCAACAGGATTTTGTTTTATAAAGAAAAAACATGTGATTCTTGATAAACGTTCCATCGCAAATTCAGTAAGACAATACTAAATAAGACGCACAAACAAAAATTTAGTCAATATTATCCTAAAAAACTACAAAAATGTGTTCAAATTTTTTATCTTACTACCAGTTTTACACTTCATTCAGGCAGGTTAAATCACACTGCCCTTGATTTCTGCATGTTTCTTACTGCGCACCTAAACGTCTGTGGCACTTTGCTATGTTGCCAAGTATTTTTTTTACACATATTAAAACCTTTACAGTGGGCAAAGTTGAACCCACTGAGCAAAGTAGGCCATGTTTACGATATCCATTACTTGATTCTTGGTGATTCTATCCGATATTGTATGTATCCTTATTTTAACCATATGGGCTTCTCCCAGTCTGCTTATGTGGTTATTCCATATTTTGTTTTCTGTTTAGTGTCCATTCGTTTATATACTGTACGTTACATTTTCTTCTAATATGTTCACTCTTTTTTCGATATCTAGTATCACCTGTCACTGGACCAATTACATTCAACAACTATTTAATGATGAAAGACAAGAACTGTCACTAGAAATCACCGAGGATACTGGACCACCAATATTAAGAGAAGAAGTCATCTATGCCATCAAAAACACTAAAGAGGGTAAAGCTACTGGACCAGATGAGGTGCCCATCGAATTATTAAAACTCATCGATGAAGATGTTATTGATGTAATGGTTGAACTCTTTAATCTAATATATCAGACTGCCACAATCCCCAGACAATGGCTGCAATCAATCTTTGTAGCAATTCCCAAAAAACCAAGTTCAACAACTTGCTCACTCCACAGAACAATAGCTTTAATGAGTCACACACTTAAAACATTTTTGACAATAATTCACAGCAGAATTGTTAAAACTCTTGAATATGAGATTAGTGACACACAATTTGGCTTTAGAAATGGTATGAGTACAAGAGATGCTTTGTTCGGCTTGAATGTGCTGGCTCAGAGATGCATGGACATGAATCAGGATATGTACTTATGTTTTGTAGACTTTGAAAAGTTATTTGATAAAGTTCAACATAAAAAGGTTGTAGATATATTAAAAAGCAAAAATATTGACAGTCGTGATCTGAAAATTATATCTAATTTATATTGGAATCAAACTGCCAAGGTAAGAGTTGACAGCCAGTACACCGAAAATATCAAAATACAGAGAGGAGTCCTCCAGGGTTGCGTGCTGTCCCCACTAATTTTCAATGTCTACAGTGAAGCGGTATTTCAAGAAGCGCTCTCAGACTCAATATATATATATATATATATATATATATATATATATATATATATATTATATATATATATTATATATATATATATATTATATATATAGCTGCTAACCCAATTAACCTTACCATTATACTATATATATATATATATAATTATATATATATATATATATATATATATATATATATATATATATATATCTATCAATGGAGAAGTTTTGAATAACTTACGTTTTGCAGACGATACAGTAATAATTACGGATAACAACAATGATTTACAGAACGTAATGCAACGCCTTAATGAACGCTGTCATGAGTACGGACTGAAGATAAATTTAAAGAAAACTAAATGCATGATCATGACTAAATCTGCACATGCAAATATCCAATTGACTATTGAAGATACTGCAATTGAGAGTGTTAATAACTATAAATACTTAGGAACATGGATAACATCAGATGTAGACCAAACCAAAGAAATTAAGACACGTATTGAAATAGCACGTACATCATTTATTAAACTTAAAAAGTTTCTTTGTTGTCGGGATATAAGGTTAGAACTACGCCTGAGAATGCTTCGATGTTACGTGTTCTCTACTCTTCTTTATGGTCTGGAAGCTTGGACACTAAAACAAGTTCATCTGAATAAGTTGGCAGCCTTTGAATTTTGGTGTTACAAAAGAATCCTACGAATATCATGGATTCAAAGAATGTCAAACATGGAAGTAACTAGAAGGATAGGAAATGAGGCGGAAATAATATTAACTATTAAAAGACGAAAACTATGTGAGTACTTGAGTACGAAGAATATCCTGGCTTAAGAACTTAAGGGAATGGTTTGAATGCAGTAGTGCAGAACTTTTTAGAGCGACAGTCAACAGAGTCCGCATAACCATGATGATTTCCAACCTTCGATAGAAGATGGAACTTAAAGAAGAAGAAGTATCACCTGTATCGGGTCTAGTTTCTAATTCATATTACGCTTTTGATGATTTTATCCTTGATTAAATTAAACAATATATGACAGAGACAGACCCTGTCTTATTTCTCTGCTTATAGGTCCTGTAAGTTGTGTATCTATTCTGACTTTCATTTGTTGTTTTGGTAGATGTTTTCAATAGTTTGTATAATATTTATTAGAAAGATAAATTATATCTTTGAGCCTTACACAGAAATGCTGGTCTATTATACGCTAGTTATTAAAAACATATGTTATTATATTATAATATATTATAAAACATATTATATATTAAAAATACATCTTACTTATGCAATAAAATACACTATAATTATATAATTATAAAGTTTCTTTTATGTTACCTGGATTCCTCTTAAGTCTCTCCTCTTCACTTTGAGTTCTTTTGTGCATAATTTTCCTCTTTAGCTGTTGTCTAAACGTAGCTGGTAAATCTTTTTTATTAACTTCTGCCAAAGTTTCCAATATCTTCGAAGCTTCTTCGAATCTTCCTTTGAGTAGCAACCATCTTGGACTTTCCGGCAAGAAAAACCAGTAGAAGTAGTACAGGACGAATGGAATTGATGTAACTTGGCATAGGAGGACCCAGTCGCGGACCAAATATGTTATACCAGCGAGCATCATCAGACTTAGCGTGTAGAATATGCAGGTCAAAACTGTTACGAACGATCTGTAATTCGGACCCACGAGTTCCAAAGCTAAAACAGTATGTCTACAAAAAACTCAAATATAAAGGTTAAAAATAAGCAGTCGTATTTTCCATTTCCCCTATAATTAATTTCGTCTTAGTTTATGTTAAAAGTACCTAGTACTTCAGTCTTCTCAAAGTACCCATTAAAAATATTTATATTAGCAATCAGTTCAAGCTGTTCAAGCAATAGACTATATCATGATTACAATAGATTTCGAAACTCATGTAAATGTACTAAGACATATCCAAGTGCCGACGCAGCCACCAATCACAATTTACTGGCATCTAGAATTAACCTAAAATTAAAGACAATCAAAAAGCCCTCCATTACAAAGAAATACGATAGACAAAAACTAAAAGAAGACGAATTTAAACATCACTTTGAACAGACAATGAACGAAAAAATTCGAGACAACATCACACAAGTATACAATGTACCAACAGTCGAAGATAGTTGGGATAACATAAAGAATGGTATCATCGATACAGCAACGCAAAGAGGAACTGTCACCCATTATAAAAAGCAAGCGTAGATGAAAGATGAAATAATCGAAATGATGGCCGAAAGAAGACAGCTTGAAAATAGAAATAACTCAGAGTATAAACAAAAGCATAATCTGATTCGAAGAATAATCAGGGAAGCCAAAGAGTTATGGATGCGAGCAAAATGTGAGGAACTAGAAGAATTGCAACGAAAACATGACAAATTTAACACACATAAGACAATAAAAGAAGTTATAGTACACAAAAGAAATAAAATCCACAAGGAAAAAATTCCTGTAGCTGGCTGTATACCACGTATAACAAAAAGAGGTTAATCTTTGTAAATGGGTATATTTATTTAAAAAAACCCTTAAAAGGGCCACATCAATAGAACAAACGTTTTCGGACTACACAGTCCATCATCAGGTTATTAAAATCGAAAATGCCTAAAAATAAGTATAAACCATTTAGTTAAAACAAACGAGATTTTGAAATTTTGACTAAGGTTGAAAAGCAAAAGATGGTTATACTTACTAGGTCATAATGCCTGAGCCACCAAAATATTAAGGTAAAAACCCTTTAAATTACATTTAGTTATGAAATGTTGTACATTGTGTTATAAAATAACTGTGATGTTATATATTAAATTAAATTTGACCAAAGGTAACACATGGCTCAAATGGGTTCCAGAGCCGGGCGAGAGACAACCTCTGCACTCGGAGAACAACTTGGAACTGATTGACAAGATACTTTTGAAGGATGAAGATAACAGAATGTCAATGCAACAAAAACTATAAAAGTTGTACATAGTATTACTACAGCCAAAAGATTCAACAAGTTTTGATGATTTTAAAAATAACAACAATCTAGGTGTTGGGATTTAAAAACTTTTTATTTATTAATTTAGGGTATAAAAGATGTCAAATCAATGATGGTTTTATAGTCATGATTAATATAATGACCTGTGCCTTAGGCAACTTATGTTGCTTTTCGTCGTATGGAATGTGGTCTAAAGTGTATTTAATTTTTGGGTTAGCTTGTATTTGTGAAATTTATCCTTTTATTTTTAACACATCTAGGACAAGGTAAAAATTAAATAACAAATATTTGAAGCTAAATATCAGACCTCATGTTTAAATGACTTTATTTAGGAATGCTCCTATGGTGAAGAATTAATAAAATTAAGTTTAGTAAGATGGAAATCTACAGGCTGAAGATATTGAAGTAGTAACATATGTGATTGAATTTAGACAAAAGAAATACACCCATAACATTAACGAATAATGAAGGTCATGCAATATCCCTAGAAGACGAAGTAATGAAGGAATGGGAAAACTACATTAAAGCATTATTTAAGGATGATCGAGGATCACTACCTAACTTAAGTGAAAATACAGGACCATCAATCTTAAAAGCTGAAGTGGAAAAAGCCATACACCAAGCCAAAAACAACAAAGCCAGTGAACCAGATCAAATATACAGCGAATGGCTAAAATTACTCTCAAATGACAATATAAAAGAACTCACTGTACTTTTCAATCAAATATATGATACCAGTGAAATTCCATCGGACTGGTTAAAATCGATCTTTATTCCTCTACCTAAGAAACCAAACGTTAAGAAATGTAGCGATTCAGCGATTGTAGACTCATTAGTTTAATGAGCTATGCCGTTAAAATACTGTTGCATATTCTTCTAAACCGAATTAACAACAAGTACGAAGAAATAATTAGTCAAGAGCAGTTCGGGTTCCGGAGATGCCTTGGAACTAGAGAAGCACTATTTTCTATGCAAAAACGATGTTGGGAGGTAAGAAAACCCGTATATATGTGCTTCATTGATTTTGAAAAGGCATTTGATCGCGTTCAGCATACCAGAATAATTACCGCCTTGCAGAGCATCCAACTAGATGAGAAAGCCATCAAACTTATTGCCAAACTTTACTGGAACCAAACAGCCATTATTAATACCAACAACAATCAGTAATCAAACAATCAAAGCCAATCAGTATTGAACGAGGCGTAAGACAAGGCTGTATACTATCTCCCACCCTCTTTGACGTGTATTCTGAGAATCTATTTAGGGAAGCTTTAAAAGATCAAAAAGGAATTATCACAGGAGGAGAAATAATTAACAATATACGGTACGCCGACGATACTGTGATTCTAGCTGAAAACATCGACGACCTGCAGGAGCTAATCATTAGAGTTGACATAGAATGCACAAATTGGGGACTGTCGATATTAAACCAACAACCGCTGCAGAGAGTTCAGAGATTCAAATACCTTGGATGTTGGATTACTCAAAATCTAGATCCATCCTTCGATGTAGAATTGAACAGGCAAGAAACTCCAAAACTTTCAAAAATTCAAGCCTCTATTATCCAATAACTCATTAAATTTGGAAATCCGTGAAAAGTTTACAATATGTTACGTATGGTCTGTACTTTTGGTATGGATGTGAAACTTGGACTTTAAACGCCGATATTATGAATAAAATCGAGACGTTTGAGATGTGGTTGTATCGAAGGATACTAAAAATTCCATGTATGTAATGGATTAGCAGAACCAGAAACGAAGAAGTTCTTCGAAGAATGGGACATCAAAGAACTCTATTAAATATTATTAAGAGGCGTAAACTAGAATATCTTGGACATATAATCAGAGGACCAAGATATGAGTTCCTTCGGCTAATTCTCAACAGCAAAATCGAAGGAAAGAAATGGATAGGACGGAAGAAACTCTCTTGGTTGAGGAATTTGCGGCAGTGGACAGGTTTGACAGCGGACCAATTGCTACATTAAAAATCCTTTGTAATAGGTATATATTTTAGGCCCAAACGGGTTAAGTTAAAAAGACAAAACGTTTTTGGAAACCATGTTCCATCATTAGTGTCTAGGAGTACATGAATGTAGCCACCAAGATTAAATATGTGGGTAAAAACCCGATAACAGATGTTTAATTACATTTAGTTTTAAAATTATGTTATAATGATTTAGGATTATAGAGTTACCGATGGATTAGGTAACATGGCGACATATGACTCCACGTTGAAGTTGAATATTATAAGCATGGTAGTCGCCGACGTTCCGTAGGGATATGGCACTCTAAGAAGAAGGTTAACTGTCTGGCTCTAGGGTATAAAATATTTCATTCATTTTAGTTTGGTGTTGCGATGGCTGGCGACGTTAGGTAATTAGTATTTTAAGAACAGTTTTGAAGCGATAACTCGCAGTAAGCTGCTTTCAATTCAATTCTTTCAATCAGTAGCCGTCTTCATTATCGTGTTATCACCTTTCCTGATTGTTTTGTTTGGGTCGATCAAATAAGGTTGAATTACGATCTGTGTTTGAAGAGATGTGCCTTCCTTTTTTTCCTTCAGGACACACACCCTTTCCAGAGGTGATCATTTTGGGTTCACAGACTGACTCATTTCGAGTTTTTCGACTTACTTTTGCTTCAAAGATCTAAACCAAAAAAAGAGGAAACAATAATAACTTACATATATACTTACATATTATAAAAGGTATTTGGTACATGGCTGGTATCGTTAATCCAACAACTATTCTGCTCCCTGCCCACCACCAAAAATTTCGAGCTGTTATTGTCAAGGCGCTTCCCAGAAGTAGCGTGGTTAAGCACAAAAAGAAGGTTATCTTTCTTCCTATTATATCATTAAGACGACCAAAAGTATAAACACCAATAGGACCTCCTATGTTTAAGGCGACCAGTCCTAATGTAGGATAAATGTCTTTGTCGCAAACCAGATCAAACTAAAAATAAAGCCTTTAAAAAACAGCTTTAAAATTATATTAAGTTTCAGTTCCAGTATTTTAGAATTTTTGACATTTCGGCTTCTAGTCCTAAACAGTTAATAAAAACTCAAAAAAGTATATTTTAAACATGTATGCAAATGGTCACAATTTTTGGAGAAACATTACAAGAAAAATATGTCCGCTTGCTACTCAATAAATGAACAAAATTCTTATTAAATCCAGCCAGTATGTGTCTGTGAAAAATCATACTCAAAATTTTTACCAATAAGTAAAGAAAAGTGAAGACACAATGGAAAATAAAGAATTCGGTTTCAGAGAAGGATTGGGGACAAGGGAAGCTTTGCTCTCAATGCTAACACTACTTCAACGATCATGGAAAGTACACAAACCAATTTAGGTCTGTTTTATAGATTTTGAGAAGGCGTTTGATAGGGTTAAACATGGTAGGCTGTTTGAATATCTAGAAATGATTGGAATAGATGATGAAGATCTGAGACTTTTACAACATCTATACTGGAATTAACAAACTTCTATTCTGGTAGACGGCAAAGAAACAGACAAAATTTGTATTCAAAGATGTGTTAGAGTTGTGTGTTGTTCCCAACTTTGTTTAACGTTTACTCAGAAATAATTTTTATCGAAGCCTTGGAAGGGCAATGTGGAGTTCGAATCGGGGGAGAAATTATTAACAGCAGCATCAGATATGCAGATGACACCGCTATCATGGCTGAAAGTATTGAAGATCTTGAATTCCTTATAGTTTGAGTCACTAGAGAATGCTCTAATAACGGACTAAGCATAAATACAACAAAGACAAAGTTATTTGTGGTAAGTAAACAAGACCTCGGCGATATACAACTAATTGTCAATAATAAACCGATAACAAAAGTTAACAATTTTAAATACCTAGGATGTTGGATAAACGAGACACTAAATCCAGATAACGAAATTTAAAACTCGAATAGAAATTGCAAGAGGAGCATTTATGAAACTTAGATCTATTCTGAGAAATTCTCAGCTGAACTTACAGCTGAACTTACTATGCTTTTGAAATCTACCACCAGGCGTCGCCCACTTTTCGGCTCCTCGCCAATAAGTTATTATGTGTATAAAATTCTATTTTATCTGTTGTGATTTCTAAATATGATGCGCAACAAAATTGGGGTAAAATTACTTTTAATGTGAAGTTAATTTTTAAAGTTTTATCCGGAATACATATTCTTGTAGTCTCCTGTCACCAAAAATAAAAAATCCAGATTTGGTAACTTAAATTTTTGATTTTTTGAAAACTTCATTTATTTTAGATTCCATGCGAAAATAATTTTGCTTTATTGTTTTTTGTACTTATCTTTTTTGAACTGATAAATAATCAAAGGTACTCACATCTATTACGATGCTGGAAGAAACTTCACTTCGATCGTAAACCCAACCATCCAAGCATTTTTCAACTGGCCAAGATGTGTTCACAAAAATTTCTTCTATACTGCCTTCGTAATCTTCCAATAATTGGGTCCAGTTTACTGCATATCTTTCACATTTTGAAAATGAACTGTTATTAAACGGTATAGATAAATTTCTTTGTTCTTCTTCGGTAAACTCAAGTAAACCTGGAACCTTTGGTTACTTATTATATGTTATACGAAAAGGTACATACTTTAGGAGGTTGATATATGACAGATTTGCTTATGGTAAGAAACCAATCTTGAGAAACCATCAAAGAGATTATAAAACTTAAATATCAACAGTGCTATGATTTAGGATTATGAAGAGAAAAACGAATCAGTTTTAGCAGTTGATTCTTGGTAAGTTACAGTAAAAATTGATATACTTTAAGTAAGTTCTTAGCAATATTACCTTGCACCAATGGTCAGGAACGTCTGCCATAAATAGTTGATTAAATGCTCCAAAACCACAAGGAAAACAAGCTGGTAAACAAACTAACCATAACATGAGTTTCTGGTAAGTTCCGAATTCCCCCACTTGAGGCAGTAGATCATCCATGTCCATGTTATCATCATCCTTTAAACAAGAAAATCAATATTTAAAAATGATACCAAATGGGAGAAACTTCACTTCGATCGTAAACCCAACCATCCAAGCATTTTTCAGTTGGCCAAGATGTGTTCACAAAAATTCCTTCTAAACTGCCTTCGTAATCTTCCAATAATTGGGTCCAGTTTATCAAGTTAATATAATCTGCTGTGCAAACCACGTAATAGTACTCTCTCAAAGTGAAGATGATTTACAATGTATGTTGCACCAATATAACCTCCGGAAGGTCAGATAATAGAACAAAAGATGGAGTTTAAATATCCAAGCATCTCATTATCTAGCTACGGAAAGCTCGAAACGGAAGTGGAGGATTAAGTGAATAGAGTAAACCGAGCCGCAGGTTGCCTGAATGAAACAATATGAAGAAAGAGAAATATCGGAAAAGAAATAAAAGACAGAATTTACAAAACAGTGATCAACCAATAATGGCATACGCGGCAGAAACACGACCTGATACAGAGAGGACAAAAAGAATATTCGATGTAGATGCAAGATCGAAAACATCATGGACTGGGTATGAAATAAAAGAGTAGAATGGACCGATCATATAAGCTGAATGACATTAAATAGAGTAGTAAAAATGGCAAGAGATGGTTTACCAATAAGAAGACGATCAGTAGGAAGACCACATAAATGATAGAATGACAACTTACTGGAGGCACGTTGAAAAAAGACAGAGTTACGTCTACATAAAAAGAAGAAGAAGAAAATTAACACCTAGGGTGAAATAAGTATTTGTAGCGTCAAAATAAGTATTTTACTTCGAAGTAATGGATTTTGACAAGAGCTATGAGTCATGCCGATTCAGTACATAAGTTTACCTGTTATTTTCAAGGTCATAGCTCTTGTTAAAATCCATTATAACTCATTTTTATTTAACGTTTGGATTTCCACTCCGGAAAGTTTTCAAAAAGATTTCTTTTATATAATTGATGGATTCGACCGTTACTTGATGGAAATTCATTTTATGTAACAATAAAACACTGAAAACTTTGTTTTAAAACTTCCACAAAATTTATTTTAAATCTTATCACTACAGCTGTTTCGGCTGATTGCCTTTCTCAAGTGATCTATTTTTGGCTTGGGTTTACAAATTTATAGCCTCTAATGAAATAGGTTGAGGAGGGGAGAATTCTTTTATATATCGACAGAAATATTGCATAATCCACTGAAAAATAATGAAAAAACCTATATTTTCAAGTATTTGCGTATTCTCCATAAATTAAAATCATTATTTATTGTTAAAAATGACGAATAAAGATTACCTTTTTTCAATGCAGCACCGAAACCGCGTGTGGCAAACATTGCGGGTGCAGTAAGCACGGCCTAAAATGTACGGGAATATGCGAAAATTATAATGGAGAGAGTTGCGAAAATTGTTATACTGTTGAATATGAACTAGATGACGCAGAAAAAGAATGTGAGAGTGAGATGAATGTTTTGGATGAATTGTTATATGACTCTGAGGAAATTCTACAACCTACTAATAAAAGAAAAATAAATAAAAACTAAGCATATTTCTGATTTTATAAATATTGAATTTCATTTTAAAACCATATAAATAAATTACAATTATTTTACTGTTTATATCTTTGTTTTACTAATTTATTCCTTCTATCAAAATAATTTGCAATTTAAGATATACGTATATAAGATATTTATTTTAATTTATTAAACAAATTATTTAATTTCTCATGAAATTGTACTAAAAATCTAGTTTGACCAAAAGTTTTTAAAATCAATTTTTTGGTTTCTTTTTTTTGGAAAATAGATTGTTTTTAAATAGAAATTGTAATCATTTTAACTTTACTTTAACATAATTTTTCACTGATAATTGCACATGATAATGATTACACAGCGAGACAGAGTAAGTATTAAAAAAAAAAAAAAGATAAATACTGAAATAATAGTAGTCTATATTTTAGAAATGGGGATGTTTCAGATATTCTCAATAATGATTTGGTAGTAGATTACGTTTAATAGTATTGTAAAAGTAAAATAAATGAAAGAATTGTGGGTGGTTTTTAAGAGTGAAAGGTAAATTTTATTCGTAATTTTTAACAATAAATAATGAATTTAATTTAAGGAGAATACAAATACTTGAAAATATAAGTTTTTAAGTAGGGAATGCGCCAGATTTGTTTCTTAATTGTTCTCTGTGATTTAAAAAAAATATGCTAACTCGGCTCCTATTGGTCGTAGAAAACTCTTTTTTTCAAATCTTTGTCTTGAAGCCAGCTACAATAATCTGCAAATTAGAAATTTGTTAAGTACATAGGGGGCGCTGCTGCAGCTCTAAATGTTTATAACTGTAATTTTACAACTTCATAAATAATTGTTGTTAAACGATTAAATTTAATAAATAAAATATATTAAATAAATAAAAAATAAATAAAAAATAAATAAAAAAATATAAATAAAAAAATAAAAAAAGCAATTTTGCAATAAATATTACGTTTTTTAATTTTGACCTTCATTTGTCATTTTTGTAATAACAAATAAATTAAATTGAACGTATACCGGCTCAAATTAAAGGTCTTTTAGAGTACTTTCATAATCTATACAGAAATTACACATTACAACACTTACTTTAGGCAAAAAATGAAAAAAAAACTCAAAAAAAAAACGTATTTTACACCTATAAACGCTCATAAATAAACAATAACCAAAAATTTTTTGTTGAATGAACTGGGGGATTGCTCCTGAGGTTGACCTTTATAACCTAGGCCACATTACATAAATTCCTGGATTACAGTGTAAAATCAACCCTTTTCCCCCACAGCCTGGGCTAGTACTCCATATTGAGTAAACGCACAGGGCTACAAATGGGTGAACTTAATTCTAATAATTATTTACCTATTTAAGTATATCCAAGGCAAGCACGTACTGCGATTATCTTGAACTACTTCCGACTTTAAAACAAAAAAGCGCGAAATTTTACAATGGAAGTAACAATATCAAAAACGCAACCAGAATTACATTGTTAGGAAAGTTAATAAGATACTAATATTTTATTAAATTTTGAATCGAATTTGGCGAAACTGCAATAAGACAGTCATTGGTAAAAAGTATGCAAATATTAAAAATACAATACGAAAAGCTGAAGTAGTTTTCTGTAAATTAGAAACACACCAGAAATGGTGTGTGATTATTAAATATGAGCCAGAGTTGGATGAAAACTTGCTATAATTGGATGTAATTGATTAAATAAGAAAAAAAAAATGTAAAAGTATAAATTCACTACAAAGTGATTTATTATTTTAGGACTTTACAAATAGATTACCTTGTTGGAATCATGATTTTCGTCGCAATAATCATTTTCATATTCATTGTACTCCATATTGGGTAAACGCGCGAACACAACTGGATTATGAAGAATTAGGTGAAGCCTCATATATTTTCTTTATAAGATTATTAATGGTACACATTACTATAAACTGAAAAAGTATCAAGTGTCTATAATTGTCCTTGTTATATATTTGATTCTGGCTTCTCGATAAATATAGGGCAAGCATAAAATTAATTCTGAATTAATTCTAAAATTCTGAAAGATGGGATAAATTTTGTATTTTGTTTTTGTCAGCTTATTACCTTCTTCTTTCGATAGTTGGTGATCAACATCATTATCTCGATCATTCTTACTATTACCATGAGGATCTGGTTAGAGCAGCAGTTGAAGCATACTTCAACTGAGATTGCGGCACCAAGACATTTTGTAAGACAAATGTTTCTTTTTTCATCGTAGATTTAATACGCACGCAAATATGGATTTTAAAATTTATTTAGAATATTATTCATCAACATCACTGGCTCTACAACCCGCATGTAGCGGATCTTGGCCTGTTCTTGGATCAGCTTCCAGTCCTTTTAACACTCGCAAGTCGTCTTCCACCTGGTTCTTCAGTCGTGCTCTTTAACTTCCTCTTCTTCTAACTCGTTTTTTTTTGTAACGTATTTTTTTAAGCAAAATTATTTTTTATTTTGTTTTTGCAGGTGAATATCACCTGACTTTTTTTACCGTAAATATAAATTGCTAGTGAATAAAAGAAAGTAATTGTAAAGTGTATGTTCTTTCTAAAATGACTGATTAGAAAGTATTTCAAATATTAGATTCAGTAGAAAATAATTATTTATCTGACACTGATGATGATTTTGATAGTGCCGATAGTGTCGGAAATCCCGATTTTCGTTTTCAAGAGTTAGTTTTGTTAAATTTACCAACTGATTTGGTATTCCCAGCTCTTTCATTGCTTTGAACATTTCTCTTCTATTCAAAAAGAGTCGTAGGCTGCTTTGTAGTTTCTCTGTTATTTAACCAACAATTCAACTGTTATAACCTTTGTCAAGTTAACATAACCTAAAAAAAATATTAATTGTACTGTTTTAAAATTTTAAAAACTTATATCTTACATAAATAATAAGTATTGTTGTGTTTGCCAGTGTTTGCAAGTAATTTTTCAAACATGTGCTTCAAGTATCAGATGGACGTCTCACAAGGGTTTTGAAAAATTTTTGGTGATACACCCCCTATTGACAAGCGAGATAAACATGTCCTAAAAAACAAAACCAATGAGCTGAAAGAAAATAAAGTAAAGGAGTTCATTAATACTTTTCCAATACGATTCACACTACACCAGACACAAAAGTGAGACAAAAGTGAGAATATAAAAAGAATCAGCGAACCTGTTTGTCAACTACATCTTTGAAAAAATATTCACTGAGAAGTTCAACATCATTCCATGCTCCTATAACAGATTCATGTAAGAAATGCGATAATTTCAAAGTAAAAATAGAGGCTTGTGAAAATAGTGAACATTTCAAGAAGGCCGAATTTACCACTGCCAAGGAGATTTTAAGAAAAGCGAAAAGTGCCATGAATATTATAAATATTGAAATACAGTATGCAAAAGAAAACAATGACACCACAGTAATTAGATTTGATCTGTTGAAGACTC